CCGTCGCCGGCGTCGGCGTCGGCGGACCTGTGGGACGCGCTCCCGAACGACGTCCGCGCGCTCGTCCTCGATCGCTTAGGCCCGCGCGAAGCCGCGCGCGCGGCGGGGGTCAACCGCGACTTCGCCGCCGCCGTCCGCGCGTGGCGCGCCAACGCGAGACGCCTCGTCCTCCCGCCGGGGCTCTCCGCGGCGGCTACGGCGTCCATGGCAGCGGCGTACCCGCGCGTCTCGTCGATATCCCTGCGGCGATGCGCCGCGCAGATGCGCACGGCATCGGACGCGCTTCAGATCATCCGCGCCGCGGGGAAGGACGTGACGCACGTGGACTTGGAGGGGTGCGACAGGGCGGTGACGGACGCGGACGTCCCGTCGTTTTTCCTCGCGGCGCCATCGACGTCGGGGACAATAACGGGCGCTTCCTTCGCGAAGTGCTCGCGGCTCACGGATAAGGCGATCGAGGCGCTGACGACGACGACGGCTTCGCGCGGGACCCCTGTGTCGGAGATGGTGGAGCGCCTGAACATCGCGGGATGCTCCCCCGGGGTGACGCGAGAGGGTTTGTTGAAACTCGCGGGGGGACGGAGCGGGGGATTTCCTTCTCTGCTCGAGCTCGACGTCAGCGGGTGCGGCGGCGTCAAGGGCGCCGTCGCGGTGCCGCCGCGCACGACGCTCCGGTCTCTGCGCACGTTGAACCTCCACGCGCTGACCGCGTTCACCGCGCAGCTCCCCGCGAGCTCGCCGCTCGAGTCGATCGCGTTGACCGAGTGCAAGTCGCTGACGGATCTCCGCGTGAGCGTCGCGGGGTTGAAGACGCTCAACGCCGCCGGCTGCAAACGTCTGACGCGGCTGGAGCTCCACTGCGCGACGTTAGAGTCGCTCGTCTTGCAGCACTGCGTCGACCTCGCGTCCCCGATCGCATGTAACACCCCAAACCTCTCCACGGAGCTGAACGTGAACGGGTGCGCGTCGTTGCGGACAGACGCGGCGGCGGCGATGATCAACGTGTCGCGGCGGTTACGTCGGGTGCGCGCGAGCGGTTTGCTCGCGGCGCGCGGCGCGATGACGATCGCGGGGAGGTGCTTGCGGGAGGTGTGCGTCGACGGGTGCGGCAACCTCGCGGACTTGAAGGTGCGGGCGCCGCTGATGAAGCTCTCCGCGAGGGGGTGTAAGACGCTGAGCGCGGTGTGGATCGAAGACCCTCCCGCGGCGGCGGAGGGGGAGGAGGAGGAGGAGGAGGGGTCGACGATCGCTGCCGAGGCGGCGGCGGCGGCGAGCGAAGCGAAGAGCGGGCGTCTCACCGTGGAGCTTCGTAACTGCGGCGCGCTGACGAGGATAGTCGGCGTCCGCGCCGCGGCGTTGGAGGAGAGGCTGAGCCTGGACGTCGTCGGGTGCGGGTCGCTGCCGGCGTCCGCGCGGCGCGGCGGGTGACGAGACAAAGGTTTCGTTCGTTCGTTCGTTCGTTCGTTCGCGTTGTGGACGTCACAAGCACCGTCGCTCGCGAGCGATTCGTGCGTGTAAACTCGTGCGCGTTAGCTCCACTCTCGTCTCGTCTCGTCTCATCTTGTTCTTGTTCATCTCGTATCGTATCGCAGAAACGGCTTCAGACCAGCCGTTTCATCATGCATCCGTCGTCTCGAACCGCCCGCCTCAGCACGTAAAAATCGAGCCGATAATCGGAACGAACGTGGACGCGAAGAACAGCCAAAACGCGTGCCCCCAGTACGACGCCGGGTCGCTCGCGGCGTTCACGTCGACGCGATACGGCCCGGACGCCGCGGCGGCTTCGTGCGCGTTCTCGCGCCCCGCGACTAGAAGGATGATCGCCAAAAACGTCAGCCACCCCGCCCAGCCGGCGAGCACTTGAAGGAGTGTCATCCACCCCAACCCGCTCGCGCCGCCGCAGCAAAAGCACAGGACGACGGCGATAATCTTCAGCGCGGACAGCGCGGCGAAGGCGAGGGTTAAACCGCGCGTCGCTTGAAGCAGGCCGTCGTAGCTCTCGCCGTAGATGTCGTCGTACAATAAGCTCACGTCGTCGACGCACCCGGCGGAGGACTCGGCGTCGCCGCGGAAGAAGAAGTCTTCGATGTCGCCTCTGACGTCCTGGCTCTTGTTCACGGCCTCGTCGACGCCGTCGACCTGCCGGAGCGCGCGTCGGCGGCGTCGCGCGGCGTCGGGCGTCGGCGGCGTCGCGGCGTCGGCGTCGGCGTCAGCGTCGGCGTCGGCGTCGATCGCCTCCGGCGGGGGGACGACGACGTCGTCGTCGAGCGGAGCGCTCTGCGCGCGAACGAACGTCGGCGCGTCCGCGTCCCGCCGCTTCTGCGCGGCGCGCGGCGCGTTCGGTTCCGGGTTCGCGCGCGCGCAGACTTCCCACAGCCCGGCGTGCGAGACGCGCGGGAGGACCGCGCCCGCGGCGGTCGTCTCGGGATCTGCGGCGCGAGGGAGCGCGCGCTATGAGCGACGCGGGGAGGGGCGCGCGGGGACGGACGACGCGCGGAGAGAGCGAACGAAGAAGAGGGCGTCTTCCGAGAGAGAGAGACGCAGACGCCACGGACGCACCGAGCCAGTACGCGCTTCCTATCGCCACGAGCGCGGCGACGAGGGCGACGATCTCGAACAGGAGGAACCCGAGGGACGCGCAGCACCCGCGGGTCTCGCTTCGGGAGCGTCGTTTGTACTCGTCTCGGACCATGACGCGGGCGGGGGTGGACGAGGCGCGCGGAAGAGTGCGGAGGACGCGCGCTGTCGTGGTCCTCGTTCTCGCGCGCGCCGCGCCGCCGTTTCGGAGCGTCCGAGGAATCGCGGAAGGGAATATGTATCTCTTAGGGTCAACACTCGTTCCTTTGCCTTTTCTCACATCGGCGTCGCCCACATCTATTCACCCGGCCCGCGTCTTCGCGCGGTCCTCTCGAAACCAAAAAAATCATCCCCGTCCCGTCCCGTTACTCGTACAAAAACGCCCCTCCTCCCTTCCGTCCTCGCCGCCGACGCCCGCCCGCCGACCACGTCCCTCAACTCGGCTCAACTCGGCTCAAAGCGGCTCAAGCTTCCTTGCAGTCCTCCATCGTCGTCTCGAACCCGAGCGCTCTCTTGACCGTCCCCCCCAAGTTCAGCTCGCACTCTTCCGCGTCGGCGGCGTGCTGGGCGGCGTCCAAGGCGTCGGCGTCGTCCCCGACGCTCCTCCGCAACCGTCGCACGATGTTCCATCGCTCCTCCTCGTTGATTCGCGTCCCTTGCGGGTCGTCGCTCGTGACCATGTTCTCCGGTAACGCGTCGCCGTGGCCCCACATCATGTCGCACGTCGCGAGTCGTATGCTCTCCTTCTTCGGTCCGCACGGACGCTTCGACGTGAGGAAATCGTACGCCTGGTCGAGGCTCTCAAAGTTCAGGCACCAGTACAGATACGCGATCGCGACGCCCGGAGAGCGGCCCATCCCCGCGGTGCAGTGGCAATACACGACGTGGCCCTCGCGCAACGCCTTATCCATCGAGGCGACGGCTTTCGGGAGACCGACGCGGAGGGAGTCCGCGTCGAAGTCTGAGGGTCGTTCCACACAAAGCGATGTCGGGGTGGAGTTCAAAGGCGTCAGTTGGCGTTCAAAGGCGTCGCGGTCGGGGATTGAAAGCGAGGGGTGGGCGGAGAGAGAGGACGGCAAAAGTCCTTAAGGATCGGCGTTCACCACGACGACGGGGTCGTATGGGAACCAGTGTATAGAACGCGCCTAAGAACGGCTCGCGAACGTGGAGCACGTCTCTCGCGCGCATCTGCTCGCGTATCGCGTGCGCGTCCACCCCCCAGTGCTCTTTGTCCTTGTCCTGCTGCGTGTCGAACATGCACGTCACGCCCTCGACGTCGCGGAGGCGGTTGATGTCCTCCGGGGTCGTCGGCTGCGTCCCGACGACGAGGTTCGGGAGGATGAAGTGGTAATCTGTTGGACGAAGAGACGCGAGGGCGGACGGGCAGGGGTTTAGAAAGGGTTTAGGTCCGATGGGCTTCGAAGGACGCGCGCGGATCGAGCGCGCGCGTCGGGTTCGTCGGTCGCGTCGTCGCGCGCGTTCTCGGACGTCGCGACCGCGGGAACCGCGCGCGCGCTGCGCGCGGGGACGCGGGAACGATCGTAGGGCGCGCGGGCGCGGGCGGGGCGATAGGACTGGAATACATCGATCGAATCGCGCGCGACGCGGCGAGAGGGAGGGACGGAACGGTGGGGCACGCACACAAGCCGAGGTCGTGGCGGTACTCGAACGGCGTCTTGCTGTACTCCGCCATCGCCCTGTTGTACGCCTCTTGCTGTTCCTCCGGGGAGACGCGCGTCAGGGTCAGATCCCCGCGGCGACGCGCGCCGCCCGCGAAGGCGACGCGTTTCTCGCATCTTGACGCGACGGAAGCGGCGGAGGTGATTTTCCCAGGGTTACGTCGCCTCGCGCTCGCGCTCGAGACGCGCGCGCTCGAGGTCGCGACCGTCGTCGCGCGAGATATCGCGACGTGTGCGTTCATTTCGACCTCCTGTGTCCTCCTCCGCGCGACGTGCCGTGACCGCGCGCGTGCTGTGCGAACCCGCGCGGTTCAAACGCGAGAGATAAAGCGACCGCACGTGCTCTTTTCGTCAAGATAGAAAAACCGCGGCCAGCCAGCGCAGCGCGGCGTCGCTTTCGCCGAGGAGACGATTGATCTAATGATTGATCACGGCCGCCGCATTCGGCGTCGGCGACGAACGAGAGGACGTCCGATTGTCCAAGGAGGGAACAAAACGGTCTCTGAGGTTCTTTCCTCGTTTACAACACCGCGCGAAAGCGCGCGCGCCGCGCGGCGACAGGATACCGTGGGCGGCGCGGAAGGGCGACTAAAACTTAAACTTCTTCGCGTCCGACTCCTTCTTCTTCGCCTCCGCCTTTCTCTTCCTCGCGCGCGCATTCTCCGCCACCATGTCTGAGAAATCCTCCGGCGCCGCCGCGGCTCGCTCCGCCTCTCGCTCCGCGGCGTACCTCGCCGCGACGGTTGCGTCGTCGACGCCGCGCTCCAAGTCTTCCGGATTCAGCGCGATCGCCGTGCCGTCCGGAATCCCCCCCGCGGCGGCGAGCTTCGCCTCTCGCTTCGACCCGGGCACCGCGCCCGCGACGTCCCCCGCGGCGGCGGCGGCGGCGGCGGCGGCGCCCGGCACGACGTACGCGTGCGCGCTGCCCATGAGGTTGCCCTCGCCCACGCTCGTCTCTTTGCTCGCGAGGACCTGGTACAGCTGCGGCTCGGCGCCGCCGACCGGCCCGCTGCGCTTGCGCAGGTCCAGCGGCACCTCCGGGGTCTCCACGCCGGTTTGAATCGAGGACATGCTCTGGATCCCGGCGCTGACGTCGTCGTCGCCGAGGCCTTCGCCGTCGCTCTCGTCCTCGTCTTCTTCGTCCTCGGACTCAGATTCGGACTCGGAGAGCTCATCTAACTTACCCCATCGAAGCGTTTTATCCACCACGGTGTCGTACGGAGTCATGTCCTCGTGTTCCCTCGACGCCGCGACGCCGAAGACGTCGCCGTAAATCGGCGTCCCGTATTCGTCCACGGGCGGCTTCCCCCATCCGCCGGGGTGGTACCCAAACTGCGCCCCCGGCGGGATCGGCGCCGAGAGTCCCGGGATCTTCAGCGACGGGTACGACGGCGGGGGACCGTAGCGCTGCATGTTGATCAGCCACGGCGGCGGCCCGTCGTCGGTCATCCCCAACGCCTCTCTCGTCTCCTCCGTCAGCGTCCCGGGTTTCTTCCCCTTGAGATCCATCTCGTACTCCTTGCCTTCGTAGTACAGCTCCCCTACTTTCGTCATCTTGGGTTTCGTCTGGAACTTGAAGAACGCGTCGTGAAGAACCTGGTAGTCGATGTCGATCTTCCCGAGCTTCGCGGTCTTCGCGTCCTTGCCTTTTTGTTTCAGCTTCTTCGTGTCCTCCTTCTCCGCGTACGCGTCGCGCAGCTTCTGTATCCCCGTCGCTTCGATGAAGCTCGGAAGTTGCCACGGCGGCTTCTCCAACCCTCGCTTCCCTTGCAAATACTTCCGCTTCTGGCACCAGTGACTCGGCACCGGGATCGTGTTCCGGTACGCCTTGAGGTACACCAGCAGACGCGGGTCCGCCGCCGTCGTGTCCCACACCTCGACAACCTCCGGCTTGGAGCAGTGCGTCTTCAGCTCCGCCACCTTCATGCGCGCGAGCAGCTTCTTTTGCTTGTTCGACATCGCGCCCTCCTCCTCCTCGTCGTCGTCGTCTTCGTCGTCGTTGTCTTCTGCGCCGCCGGGGCCCGGCTTGGTGTCCTCGCGATCGTCGCGATCGTCGTGCTCCGTCTTCTCTTCCTTTTTCGCGCCGGCGCCGCCCTCCTCCTCCGCGGCTTCGGCGCTTCGCTCGGGGGGCGCGTCCGACGGCTTCACGTACGTCGCCGCGTACCCGTCCTCGCGGCTCGCGAACCGCGCGTACGTCTCCCTCAACTCCTTGTAGATGGGGTTCTTCTCGTCCTCCTCCGTCATCTCGAGCTCCGGGGGCTGGACGTATTCGACGTACACGTCCGGGATGTCGGTGGCGACCAGCTCGACGGCGAGCTTCTGGCCCTTTTTCCCGCGCGTCGGCGCCGGCCTCGCCGGGGCCTTCTTCTTCGCCTCCGCCATCGCGCCGGCTTTCTTGATCGCGGGCCCGTTGGTCTTTTGGGACGTCGCCGCGGGCGTCTCCGGCTCCGGCGCGGTCTCCTTCTGGATCGCGTCGCGGGCGAGCGGGAGGGCGGACGGTCGGGTCAGAGAGACGAACGCGCGAGAGAGGCGCGAGGATCGAGGATCGCGCGCGCGAATTTAGGGTTTCAACGCGCGCGCGCGGTCGCGAGGGGTGGGCGATCGGGACGGGGGAAGGGGGCGCACCGCGGCTGATGCCTTCGCGGCCTTGCGCTTCTCGCGCCTCTTCGCCGCGGTCCCCATGACGGCGACGCGAGGGCAGATCGCGCGCGTCGATGCACTGACGATGATTGATGAGATCCTCCAGACGCGACCTTCTGTTCGATGTTCCGTCGATGGCGCGAGTCGACGAGCAACTTGAAAGGTTTTCATCGGTCAACGAACCCAAAATGGCGCGTGCCCGCGATGAACGCCGTCACCCGCCCGGTGAATTTCACCATACGCGATCGGCAGAAAACCTAGGTCCGGCCGAATATCACCATTGAGACGATTCGCCGCCGCCGCCGAGCACTCGACGCCGCGCCCCGCTCGACGCGATCGCGAGTCCGATGCAAAAGATGTACAGAACGCGCGCGCTCGTCGCTCTCGCGGTGCGCGACCCCCGCGTCGATCGATCGCCCCGCCCCGCCCCGAGCGCGTCCCGCGACATCGCTCCCTCGCTCGGTCGGCGACGTCACGTCACGACTAATCTCGACATCTGTCGGAACGGAAGCTCGAACCCTCCCTCCTCGCGCTGACTGACTGACGCCCTCCTCTCGCCCTCCCGCGCGCGCGATGGACGTCTTCTTTCCCAGGCGACGCTCCTCGCCGCCGCCGCGCCCGTCGCGCGCGCGGGAGGCGGCGACTCCCCGTTGTTCGACAACAAGAACTGCGTGAACGCCGACGGGAACGCCTTCGACGCCGCGATCGATTACTTCCCTTCCGAGTTCCGACTCCACGACTCGTCGGGGAAAGAGCCCGTCGAGTCGGTCGTGCAGATCGCGCAAAACTTCAAGGTGTCTTACCACGGGTACTACAAGGTCGTGAAGCATCAGTGCTTCTCCGGAAACGGCGCGTCCGCCTCGTGCACGCCGGAGACGTACATTCTCACGATGTGCGGCGCGCCCAAACCCGACGTCGACGTCTACGGAAACGCCTGGCCCGCCGCGACGAAGCACTTCCAAATCCCGCTGAAAGGCGTCGCGTTCTCGCTGACCGTGGTCGAGCCGTTCATGGAGATGCTGAACCTGAGGGACAAGGTCAAGATGGTCGATCACTCGTACTCGCACTCGCCGTGCATCCAGCGAGACGAGGAGCTCGGCGTGATCGACGGCCAAGACTCCCTGGACGCGTCCTGGGCGACGCCCGCGGCGTGGAACGATAAGATCAACGGCGGCGTGGCCGACATCGACGCCGTGTTCACGGACTCGTGGAACTCCGGCGCCGCGTCGGACGCGAGCAAGAACGTCGTCTTCGACGCGAGCACGGACCCGGGCATCTTGAACCGCGGCGAGTGGATCAAATTCATCGGCGTGTTTTTCAACGAAGAGCAACAGGCCAACGCGTACTTCGAACGCGAAGTCGCCGAGTTCAACCGAGTCGAATCCCTCGCGCACGAGGCGAGGTGGAACAACCGCCTCAAGACTGGCACCGTCAAGACGTGCGCGTGGATCGAGTACTCCTCCTGGTCCAGCGTGTGGAAGCTCAAGTACGATCAGTACAAGCAAGACTTGTGCATCAGCGCCGGGTTAACGCCGGTCACGGACGCCGGCGCGACTGAACAAACGTTCGCCAACGCGACGTCACTCGCGGCGAAGATCGCGAACGTGGACGTCGTCTTCGACGAGACGTACAACGCGGACCCGACGACGTACACCAAAGACGCGGCGTTCGCCGCGCTCGGGTTCGCCGAGAGCGATCTGAAGTCGTCCGTCCTCTTCTTGCGCACGGATTACCACGTCACGGACAAGGTGGGGGGGTTCTATCTCACACTGGTCCCCGTACGACCCCGTTCGCGTGGTGAACGCCGTTTCTTAAGGACTTTTCCCGGCGTCTCTCTCCGCCCACCCCTCGGTTTCAATCCCCGCCCTCGACGCCTTTAAACTTCAACTGACGCCTTTCAACTCCACCCCGACTTCCCAAGACGACCGGGGACTCCCTCCCCGCGAACCGAAACGTCAACTGGCTCGCGGAGGGCGTCGGCCGCCCCGCGAGCGTGCTCGCGGATCTCGTCGCGAGGGTGTGGCCGGACGATTTCGAGGCCCCGGTTAAGGGGTGCCCGCGGTACTTCCGCGACATGCGCCAGACTAGCCACGGTGCGCTCTACGCGCCGGTTCCTCGCGCGACCCCGTCCGCGCGGCGCACGCCGATCCCTGAGGACTTTGCCCGCCGCATCTCTCCGCCCACCCCTCGGTTTCAATCCTTGATCGTGATGCCTTTCGACTCTGACTGACGCACCTCTGTGCTTCACCCCGACGTCGCTTCGCGTGGACCCTCGACCCTCAGCGCCCGAAGTCATCGGCGCGGACACGTGCGAGGCGTGGACCCGCGCGAACGAAGACAAGCTGTGCATCACGTCGTCGTACGGCTCGGAATCGAGCGCGACCTTCTGGACGATGGTGAACATCGCGATCGCCTGCGCCGTGGGCCTCGTCTTCATGATGTGCGTCGCCGCGTCGTTCAAGTTGTGCAGACGTTGTATACGCTCGAAGCGATCGGGCGATAAATTAATTTACGACGACGACGCGGACGCCGCGTCCGTGTCGGAGTCCCCGCTGCCGCCGCTGCCGATGGTGCATATGCTTCCGGCGTACCCCTCGCCCGCGTCCGCGGCGACGCCGTCCGGTCCGAACAACCCGTTCATGACGCTCGCATCCGCGCCGGGCGGCGCGGACGAAGGAGGATTGCCCCCGCCGCTCGCGCCCGCGCCCACGCCCGCGGCGGCGCCTGACGCGAACGGGAGCCTTCCGCCGATTGTGATCGAGGTGTGACGAGCGAGGCGTCCTCGAGGCCGAGGGTGCCCGCGCGCGACGCGTCCGTCGCTTTTACACGCTTTACACTATGTTTAATTAATATCGATGTACATACGTGCGTACGCGTGCGCGCGTCGAGTCTCCGCGTGCGCGCCACGTCGACGTTTTCGACGTCCCTTGAGCGCGCGGCATGGCAGCACGCCAAATCCTGGATCTCACTGCGGGGACACAGCAGTGGACCCTTCGGGACTGGAATTGCGCTCGCCGCGACGGCCAGACCGCCGCGCGCGCGACGATGCAGGACGCGATGTCCTCCCCGGGCGCGCGGGATCTCAATAAGACCGCGTCCAGGGGCAAGGTGACGTTCTACCCGTCCCCGCGCACGAGCCCGGTGAGC